CAGGGGGGCCGCTGCTCGGGGACTGGCTGGGCATCGGTTGGTGGGTGGTGAACAATTGCACTGTGCATCACTTGCTTTGTGTATTATTATTATTATTACCTTATTATTATTATTGCTATTATTATTTTATTTCAATTATTAAACTGTTTTTATCTCAACGTACGAGTTTTTCTCACTTGTGCTCTTCCAATTCCCTCCCCCATCCCACCAGGTGGGGGGGGAGTGAGTGAGTGGCTGTGTGGTGCTCAGTTGCCGACTGAGGCTAAACCACGACACTGGCAAAATGGTAGAGTAAAAATATCTGTAGAGTGGAAACCTGTTTAGTCACATTCCTGCCTGATCACATGAAAGAGTTAAAATTTTCAATTTTTTAGCTATGTCACTGAAACAGTCTTTTCCAATCACTTTCTCCAGCCTGAATGTACCGTCTTCTGAATTCCTCCTGTTGCTTAGATGGCCCCATAGGCTGGTTTTACTGCACAAAACCTCCACACATCTAGTATTGTCTCTGCTGCTTTCCTTCCCTTCCACTGGGTGCCGTCATAGCTGTTTCTAGTTTGTTTGTTACCTTGGGCTGCTGACAATTATAATTTAAAAAGTTATGTCCTGGTGTACATATCTAAATACAGAGCAGATTGCTGAAACGCCCGTGTGGCCCACTGTTCTGAATTCCCTACCATCCAAGCTCACTCGCTGCCCTGCGTCCTACAGGCAGACTTGCTGAGCCGGGAGGGCACAGCTGCATGGTGGAGAGGGATGGGAATGCTGGCCGCGGGCGGGCAAGCAGAGTGGGAAGAAGGCTCTCTCCCTGCCCCTGCACCTCCATCTGTCCCACAGTGCATAACTGTCACCCCAGCCTCCCCAGTTCAGCGGCATCCCACCGGCAGACTGCTCCTGGGGGTGAGGAGCGGGCACTCTGCATTAGCTGTCTGAGGTGGCCACACAGAAATCAGCGGTAAGGAAAGGGGAACACTTCAGGAAATGGCTTCCCATCTCGGCATCCAAAGCATCACAGGTGGAGCTTTCTTTAGAGGATACCTGAGGTCTCAGGTATAAGCTATAGTGTTGACCTGTCCTGTTCTTGCATTAAAAGGCTTTCACCGCAATCGAATGGGTGTGACCAGCCCCCTTCCCTTCCCAGCTCTCCTGCCTATACCTGGCCAAAGCAGCTGTCAAAATAAATGGCCCATACAGAAGAGCCCACCCTGCTCCATCACACCCAGTACAGGTGCACTGGGGTCTGAGATGCTTCTCTTTTCACTCAGTCATATTTAGTACTAATCCATTGCCATAATCTTAGTTATTATTTTAACTTTAATACTGTGGTTTCTTTAGTATGCATTGATAAGTATTCTCTGAAAAGGGAGAGAGCTCTCATTATTTCTGTTTCAAGGTGAGATATAGAAGAATGGAGAATCGCAGTGAATTGCCTGTAACCCGTAGCCTGGGAATGATGCGATAAAGTTTATGAAGTTTATGAAGTCGTGAGCATGTGGAGAAGGTGGATTACACACCTCATTCACGATTACTTACTGACTCCTATAATTCAGGAACTAGAGGATGTCAAGTGAGATAATCAACAGGGCCAAGTGCCGGGTCCTGCACTTCGGCCACAACAACCCCATGCAGTGCTACAGGCTTGGGGAAGAGTGGCTGGAAAGCTGCCTGGCGGAAAAGGACCTGGGGGTGCTGGTCGACAGCCGGCTGAACATGAGGCGGCAGTGTGCCCAGGCGGCCAAGAAGGCCAATGGCATCCTGGCCTGTATCAGAACTAGTGTGGCCAGCAGGAGTAGGGAAGTGATGGTGCCCCTGTACTCGGCCCTGGTGAGGCTGCACCTCGACTACTGTGTTCAGTTTTGGGCCCCTCACTACAAGAAGGACGTTGAGGTGCTGGAGTGTGTCCAGAGAAGGGCAACGAGGCTGGTGAGGGGTCTGGAGAAGAAGTCTTCTGAGGAGCGGCTGAGGGAACTGGGACTGTTTAGCCTGGAGAAAAGGAGGCTGAGGGGAGACCTCATCGCTCTCTACAACTACCTGAAAGGAGGTTGTAGCGAGGTGGGTGTTGGTCTCTTCTCCCAAGTAACCAGCGATAGGACGAGAGGAAATGGCCTCAAGTTGTGCCAGGGGAGGTTTAGATTGGACGTGAGGAAAAATGTCTTTACTGAAAGAGTGGTTAAACATTGGAAGAGGCTGCCCAGGGAAGTGGTTGAGTCCCCATCCCTGGAAGTATTTAAAAGACGTGTAGATGAGGCGCTTAGGGACATGGTTTAGTGGGCATGGTGGGGTTGGGGCGATGGTTGGACTCGATGATCTTGGAGGTCTTTTCCTTCCTTAATGATTCTATGATTCTATGATTCTATAATCAGGTGGCAAATTCAAAACCAGTGAGGTTCTTCATAGAGTCCCCAGGCAAACTCTGGGGCATCACAGCAGGGTTGCTTGGGTTGTGTAAAACTTCCCTGACCAAACCATGCGTTAGACAAAACTATGGAAGGAAAAATCCATCCCAGAGGATCCTGAACTTCACATTGCTGGAGGCTACGAGAGAACATCAGAAAAGTAAAGTTGCCCTTTGTTTGTTCTTAGGTATCTACTATTGACCAGACTGGGGATAAGACACCTGTCCACACCAAACCTTTGCTCTGACCCAGTACATACCCCCTAGTGTCACTACATATCCAGAAAATCTGTGCTGGAGCTGTGAATAAAACCTTAGCTGTCCAGCCTTTAGTCCAGTTCTCACGCACCAGCGGTGATGACTCTGCCCAATTCTGTGGGCTGTCTTCTTCCATTTTGTGCATGTTACTAAAGTAAAGAATATGATAAATTGAGTAAATATTCCTGACCTAAATGACAGAAGGTAGAATAAGAAAATAAAACTGTCAAAAAAGCCAATAAACCAAATAATGCTAACATGGTGAAGTGAATGAAGGTTAGTCTGCAGTGTTGCATGCACAGTTTGCTTCCTGCTCTACTCGGGGCTTCTTGTACATCCTAGGCACATGCCTTATCAGTATTTGTGTTTCATTATTAACTGTGAAAGCCCCTTTCCCTTGTCATAAAGGATGATAGCATGATACACCTTTGAAAGGTAAGTTTTTCACAGTTCTCAAGAAAGAAGAGAGGCCTTCAAACCCCAAGGACAAAGCTATTAAAATAAAAATATTCAAATGAAATAAGTAAGTATGAATAAAAAAGAGACAGGAAATGGGCCTTTAGAAATGTTAGCTTTAATAAAAAAAAGGGCAATTTTGGAAGCAGTGTCTGTCTAGGTATTATTTCTCTATGGCATATACCCAAGATTATTGTTGAAAAGCATCTTTCACTCTTCCAGTACATTAAGATAAAGTGCTACAGCTTACATTTCCTATTGGTATTTTTTCATTTTAAAACACCAGGAAGGTATTTTAAAATGACATGCATTGACTTGTATATTGGTACTAAGATTTTTTCTATACTGCCTGCAAGCAAAAATCACAGAACTATGGTGTTTCCATAGCAACTGCATGTTAATAAGGTGAAATTTCCAGTTTGATAGAGCTGAACAACTAATAATGTCAGCTTCCAATGTTGCAGAAGCTCAGATGTCAGGAAGGGTCAGCATAAAACACGGGGCTAAAATTGATTCTTTGCAACTTTCGTCTTTATTGCTAGTATAATTTTGGGAAAAGCCAATAAAAGATATGATTAAAACAGTAATCTCATTTTCACACACTTCTCATATCATAAAGCATCAACATTCAAAATATATCCGTTTAAAGCTTATTCATACATCTCCATAAGAAACATCATGCTCTTACTGCAAGCTCACTTTTCACCTTTGAGCTTTTACTATACAATACTTTATGGGAGAGTTCTGGGAATAGTTTTCAGGTAGTGGATGTCAGTAGACACCCACTGGCCATCAGTGTATGCTGATGTTTGTCAGTCAGAACATAAAAACTCATTAGCAATTTTTGCTGTAAAATCACAGTTCCCTTAAGGTCAAGAACTGAATTCAAGGGATATTTCTTTTTAAGAACCCAGAAGAAATCACAAATTGGGATCTGGTTATTAAATTCGATGGAAGTTCTTTCAAAGGCTAGACAGGTCTTTGGTTTTCCTTTCAATCCCTTTCTCTGTGTCTGTGGTCTAACAAAAGCTTTTCTGGAGGGTTCCAGTGGCTTTGGGTTGGAGACATTTGGCAAAGAGTGAAGCTAAAGAACAAATTTATCCCTGTGACAGGAAATCTCTTTCCTGGGTTAACAGTGCAGTGGATGGCCAGTGTTAAGTGATCTTATTCAGCTCCAGCATGGTACTGGCTTTTTCCAAAAAAGTGATGCTAGAATTAATTCAGATTGCAGTATGAAGCTGCTCTCTGCAACCCCTCCCCCCAATATAATTAAAATTAGGATAAAAATTAAAATAAAAGTGAAAATAAAAATAAAAAAGAACTGTCGAGATGCTTTTCAAAAGGAAGCTAGTATTTAAATCACGTATTTCCAGAAATTAAGGTTTTAAGTAAAATACCAAACATCAAGATGCTTACACTAAAATCAGAGTTGACAGAACTTGGTCTGAAATTTCTGTTTAAGAGATCATTTTTTCCCTGTGTTTCATCATGAACCATATGGCTCCATCTATGTTAGTATGTAATCATGCCATTGCCTGGCTCGAAGGCCAACTGTCAAGGAAAGGCCTATGCACATACTGTAGAATCATCTAAAAAAGGGTGGCCATAGCCAAATTCCCTATTTGGAGTGACTGGTTTTATTTCCCGAGCTGTGCTTGGGACCATTGGGAACTGCTGGCTGGCTTGGGCCAAATCTGTGCCAGGGACCATCCTCATGCCTGCACCAAGAAGACAACAGACATCCTTCCCTGAAATGTTCCCCAGCACTTTTGGTTCATACCCATCTGTCTTATTGTATCAGTGAAAACAATGAGTAAACAGTGGCCAAACCTCTGTATATATTGTTTTGTTAGTGATGTGTGCTACAGCCTGAAGATCATATAAATCTCATAAACTGTGAAAGAACAAAATATATCCTAGTATCATTGTAGAGCATATTTAAGACCTACTGAATGCAATTGTGGTGTAGTATTTTTGTGAATTTAACTCAGCTTTTATTGCAATCACAATTTAACTTGACCAGAGATGAGAGTTTTTGAAAATTTCACCACCTGAAAGTTGGTACAGTGCAAAATCTCTGTAAATTAATTTTTATGCATGTATATGTCTTTTCATAACAGATAATTTTAGTTCTCTGTATTAAAATCTCTGATTTAAAACCTTAATGTAAATTAAGAAATGTTTATATTTTACATAAATAATATGTTAGTGTATGAAAATTAAGCCATCTCAAAATATTGCCCACATAGCCCTACACAGTCATTTCGTCTACTTTTTCATTAGTTTTCTTTCCTTATCCACACAGTGACTATTAGCCATATTACACACAATTCATCAAAAAATTTCATCTTAAGCCATGAATATGAGAAATGATGACAGCACAAACTTATAAAAACATGTAAACTAAAGTATTAACATAATAATAGCACACTATCTTGAATAATTAATTGGATTTCTTTAAAATTAGATTGTTTTGCATGCAGAGACTCAGATGCCATTAATTCAACAGGACCACACATGGTTTAAGTTACAAATTTGGCCCCAGAGATTCTGTTTGTGTTTGCTTTGAATTTCACAGGAATGCTGATTTCAGAGTGCTTATCTTTGTGGCACGTCTGTGTGCTGTGGTGGGGTGGGGGGTAAGAGGTGATGCTGGAAGTCAGGCTGTGATGGGGATGGAGCATCCAGCAGAAGCCATGGAACATATTTAACTAAGACATCTTGACACCAGCTTTAAACCAGCCTCGTCCTGCAATCCTCTTTCTAGCTGAGCTCTTTGTAAAAGAGACAGTGAGCAGGACGCCCGTCCCTCCATGGTGGTGGTTATGGGAGGTACCAGAATGATGGAGTTGGAGACACTGATCCTGTGTCCATGAACGGGCACTAGTGCAGCTGAGGATCACACAGTGCCATCTAAGGAGCAAGAAACAGGCTTAAATGGACAGCTGGCCTTCTGAGATGGCTGAAAGCCCTTGGCCTTCTCTTTATGCGCTGACAGACTGTTGCCAACTTCTGTGACGTTTTTGTCACACAGCCATTAACCACTGGGAATTGTGGTGAGAGTACCAGCATTTTGGGAAGGCTGGCAAACAGATTTTATGTGCTAATAGCACTCTGACACTCTAGAAATTATCATTATCCTTGTTTTGGAGAAAAAAGTAATTTTTGTCTTCTTGTTTAAATCTATCAGTTGCAAATGACATATGAGACTTAAGGCCTAGCATCCCCCCTGCAACTCCTGCCTCGCCCTCTGAAATAGATCTGTGGGGATAAGAAACATCACCCAGGAGTCCCCTTACAGCACCCTTCAGAAAGCTGTGGAGCAGAAGCATTGCCAGCGCCGTGCAGAGGGATAGTGCAGCTCCTGACAGCCATGCCTGGGCCCTGCACCCCACCCAGGTACCGCCTGGGTATCGCTCTGCATCCTCCCAGCAGGAGCAAGGGGACAGAGCAGTCTGCCTTCGCCCCTTGCTGCCCCACCATGCTTATGCATACCGGGGCTCCTTAAGGCCCCAGCCTCAATGCTAAGAAGCCCTTCTCGTTGCAAAACAGAAATGTTTTTGCCCTTTCTTGCACACGAAAATCATGGGAAGTTTTGTATTCAAACAGGAAATTGTAACATTAGGATGTAACAACCCTCTCCTTAACAGTGATTTAATCTAGATTACTGAACTCTGATTAATGGCATTCTTAACAAAGATGGAAATTTACAGCATACGAACAGTTAGAAGCAACATATAAATGGTGTTTAAGTGGTGAATGTGACTTATGAATACACAGTATATCAGCCTTCACTGGATTTAAAGAATGCAAAATGCAAAAGATGGTCCCTGCCCTATAAATCTAATAAACTAAGTACAAGAAGACAAAACACCTGATGTGATAGATAGAAAAACAAAGGGTAAAGATGACGTGATTGTGAGTAGCGGCAGCAGTCTTGGATCTACAGGACATTGACCTTGCTAGAGAAAAAGGTTGAAAAAGCAATGCTGAGGAGGAGAGTGAGGGATATATCTCCTAACTAGAGCCTTACCTGACTTTTACAACTAGGTTGCAAATATCCAGCATATGACACCTTTATCATTTCTGTTTCCTTTGTAAACCATATTAAAGCTGCTAAAACAGCTAAACAGGCTGTGCTATAATTTGAAAAATGCTTTAATACTAAACAGAAGATTCAGTTTTAAATCACATGACAATATGGAAGTAATTAGAAGTGTATGTTCACTGTTTGAAAAATGCTTTAATACTAAACAGAAGATTCAGTTTTAAATCACATGACAATATGGAAGTAATTAGAAGTGTTCATGTTCACTGGGCCTACTCCTCATTGTGGTATTTGCATAAAAATATTAGGCAAGCTGCTGGATAGAAAATTATATGCAATTGTGCTTTGCAGAATGTATTAACTTGCTAAACTTCAAAATACCCAGCAGTACAGACACAGAGAAACCTTACCATTCTGGATATTAACTAACATAAATAATTGAGTTCTCTGAACATTAGCTTCTGTGTTATCTGCAGTGATTATCCTAAGAAATGTATTTATTACAAACACTTGAAAATGATGGCTTATTTCGTTTCATCTTACATCCAAACTAAATTTGACTGGAAAAATCTGTAGCATAGCTGAAGAATATATGTTTGCTACTAGCTGTAGTACAGGAAACTTTCACCAGCCTGACCAGCAGCAGAACTGCGCGGTGCTCTAATTAACAGGGTTCCATGGTATTTATTGCTCCCATTAGTGCAGCATGGCAAACCAGGCCCTGGCTCTGAGCTTCATCCACTAGGTTGCACTGCAATCAAATTTCCAGATGTCATTCAATTTCAGCGACTTACACACTTACAGTGGCTTTTTGGCATAAAGGTATTTAGATGGCTGGATAGGAAAACTGTGGGATTCACACAAAAAAAGGAGCTTGGGACTGTGTATCTTGGGGGTCTAACTAGCTTTACAGGTTAGGCTATATTCTCCATAGTTTCTCTGGAAAGCTGGAAAGCCATGGTCCACATGGTTCATTACAAAAAATTACAGTGTATGGGTTAGTTTCCATAATGGAAAATGACACCTAGGGACCCTTCCCCACAAATTTAAGTTCTGTAGTATTTTCCTCTGTAAAGTAGTAACATCACAATAAATGTTCATATTAACGCAGTGTTCCTGGACGTCTGTGGGCTGACATTTGTCATTATGATATATATTTCACATAACAACAGGTAATTTAGCAAGCACTGGGGAAGATCATTGCAATGAGGGGCATGGGATCACTGTCACCCAGTAAGGCACGCTGACAACAACAGGTCTCAATGGGTTCATTTTATATGGCTTTTTTTAGACGTGTGAGTGTGGGTTCCTATTCATCATGGCCTGAGCTGCTTGCATCCACAGTGCCTGTGGGGACAGGGCTGAGGTCGGAGCCAGCACCCATCGTGCATTTGCCTTTCCCCACATGGCACGCCAGTTGAGTGGCTGCAGGGTTAAAATCTGAATGAGGATTATTTAGAGAGTTCAGTTTCAAGGGTGAGCTCAAACCCAAGCTAAAATGACAGTACAAATATATCAACCAGAATGTTTCATTTCAGTCCAAGGTTTTTAAAAGCCTATTACCCTCATGTTATTTTCAGATAAAATGTCTAATGGAGACATGAGATAGCACTCAAAATATATAAGACTGGCAGAAATGACTGGTGGAAATTCCAGTTTTTCATATTACTGATCCATGGGTATTTGTATCAGATGTTAGGGAGGCAGAAGACATTCTGATTTTGTTTGAAATAAATAGAAACAATATATTATGGATTCTCTCAAGTTAAGATGCAGTTAAACTTATTCTCAGAGTTATATGTGCATGAAACAATATTTTAAACACAAATTCAGCAAACATTTCAATTGATGCATTTTAGTAATTATAGGCAGGTTTGTGAACAGGTTCATAACCAATGGGACATAAAGTATCTAATAGGCAGTTCAATTTATGGGCCTGTTGTAAGCCAAGCTTATATTTAATTTTTATTGTGATATATAGTGCTCAAGGGGATGAGACATCTGTGCATAGGTGGAGTTTAATTTGGGAGATTAACAGTGTTGAAGCATTATAATCAAAGAATTTTCTGTCTGTTGGAAAGTTTTATACATAGGCTGTTGATCAAGTAAGAAGAATGATTTAGCAAACTATGCTGGTTCTTCCTATTTGCTTGAAACATAAAAGGGATAAAATCTCAGCTGGGAAGTCTGCAAGTTGCTTTACTCCACTCAGTTTAGTATTTAATGACTATTAAGGGTAATTTTTCTGACAACAAAATTTAAATTTAATTGACAGGAGAACTGTCGGTAAACATAAAAGACATCTTACTCACAGGGATGAGTAAATCACTGTGTAAATTTTCAGTGCCACAAAGAGAAGAAATGTCCTAGCTCTAGATAAGAAGTGGTGTCTATCTGTTGTGAAAAAAGCACGTTTCCATGTAAGGCTGTAAGCTTTCTCCCAGTTTCCCTTGTGCAGTGAGCATTGTAAGGCCTTTCTCCAGGTGAACACTTTCAGCGATGCTGCCAACACACTTTCTCTCCATTGCCACTTTTGAAATCTGAGCAATCGCAACATCGGCTCCTGGTGCAGGGATCAGCTAGCGAGCTTCCTCCATCCGTCAGCCATTACTCAACTTTGGACTCTGCTACTCAACTCCTCCCTGCTTCCCCCCGCCTGTTTTCCTGA